CGTTATGATGGTTACATATGATAAAGGAGACAACCAAACATGAGATACACATTCTAGCTGTGGAAAAACAGCATATTGGTGCAAGTAGACATATTAATTTTTTGATAGTGAGGCCTAATCTCTCACCGAATGGGAACCATGAACTGAAAGATTCATGTATACGACACTACACAGTGCAAATGTGAGAATGCTTTGTTGAGTAATTTAATAGTTAATTCACTGGCCATTAGATTCATTTATGATTCTAACAACGAAACAGGTCTTTTAATGTTAGCACCTAACATAGAACGAGTTGGCTATTCCGCTCCCATTTCCTGAACTGTCTATGTTTACACTTATCAAGGGGTTCTAACCAACAGAACCAGAATAGGATAGACAAACGAACTTTCTTTTTGTACCGTACGATGTAACTCCTGGAACGTAGACTGTCACAACAGTAACCTGATGAGAAAACGTGTTAACCACTTTGACTACCTATTTCAGCAGTGGTTAGTGATCGACGAAATTCGAATGTAAAAACCAAAGATTCACTTCGTTTTGTCAAATTAGTCAGGACAGAAAGTACAATGCACTATTTCAAACTACATGGATGTGAAGTAAACGTTGAAGACATGCAAATGCTAGGCGTACGTGATCACTGTTGCTATCGTAGAGGTACTAGGCTAAACAGATGAATTAGCTTATGTGATAAACCTCTTAGGCAGATTACATGTTATACGTGTACCTGACAAGATGTAACCTAACGTAGAGCCAGGTTAAATGAAGGCGAATGTTAGCTAGATCACATCGACTGATAATCTTTCATCACAGGTCCGAACAATGATGATTGCTTGGTTGAGCGAATACAGTTCAAGCACATTCGAAACTAAAGTCGCCTGGTTAACTAGTTCACTAGTTACTAGCCAGTCCTAAGCCCGGGCAAAGAGGGAAGGTTGGGCATACGGCTAGCAACCCTACCCCGTAAAACCAATCCAACCGCTAAAAAAACTTCAAAGCACAGACAAAATATAAAAATAAACTTACTCATTGCTGGGGTCGGGGAAACGAAATGACGCCAGTTGGTGAAAGCCTTTGGGAAGCCGATTGGTCGATGTGTCTTCCCTTGATGAAAGCGAAAGTGAACAAGGGGACATGGAATGTCCGCACCATGTTTGAACCCAGTAAGGCAGCCCAGGTTGCAAAAGAGATGAGCAGGCATAGTTTTGAAGTGCTAGGAATTTGCGAGGAATCTGCAGGTGGAATGGAAGTGGACTCTCCAAACTGTCAACTGGAGAATCAATAATCTACTCCGATATTGTCACCCACAAGACAACCACGAGCACACTGAGTTATCGAGTGGCCATCATGATGTCTCCAAGATCATCGAAGGCTCTCATACAGCGGGAACCAATCTCCTCCAGAGTCATGACAGCGAGGTTCAACTCAAAAGGAAGGAAGGTCACAATCATACTATGCTATGCACCTACAAATAATGCAGAGCAAGAGAAAAAGGAGGAATTCTACAGACAACTTCAAACACTGGACAAGACCCCACCTCAGTTGGCGATATCAAAATTCTAATGGGCGATATGAGTGCCAAACTGGGAGCAGACAACACAGGAAGAAAACTAACCATGGGTCGAGAAGCGCTCGGTGAGGTGAAATGAACGAGAATGGAGAATCGTTTGCAGAATTGGAGTCAGGCAGTTTGCACAAACACAAGGATATCCACAAAGCGACATGGATTTCACCACACTAAAAATCAGATCGACTTTATCTCAATCTCAAGAAAATGGAGACGCAGCCTACTTGACATAAGGTCAAGAAGGGGAGCAGATGTAGGCTCAGACCACTATCTAGTGCAAGGAACCTTCCAAATCAAGTTAAAAGCCTTCAAGGAAGCTGGTGATAGACCTCAATTCAAGTACAACACTCGGAAACTGAAGGATGAAACTACAAAGGAGATCTTCACGGCAGCCACCAAGACAAAATAGGAGACATTGAGCAACATCCCTGAAGAAACCTGTGTATATGAACACTGGAACTCTTTGAAAGAGATGTGGAAAGAGACCTGCACAGCCGTATTAGGAAGGAAGCAGAAAGAAGGTAAGAAATGGATCTCGACGGATACCTGGAAGCTGAGAGAGGAGAGGAGGATGGTGAAACAGAAGATAAACCACTGCAACGATGCACAACGAAAAGAGGAACTGATTACAATGTATAAAACACTGGACAAAGAAGTGAAGAAGAGTGCACGGAAAGACAATAGACACTTCCACGACACATTGGCAAGTGAAGCAGAACAGGTTGCTGCAGGTAGGAGAGAAGAAGACCTGACAACATTGTATCAAATAACCAGGTTGCTATCTGGGAAGAGAACAACACAGATGAAACCAATAAAAGATGATGAAAGAAACTTAGTTACGAAAGAAGAGAAACAAAGGAAACAATGGGCGACCACTTCAGAAAGCTCTTGATTCGAACACCACCTGCACTTCATCCAGAAATACCACCTGCAGCCCAGCCACAGAACTACAAGTGAACATAAATCCTCCAACAAAAGTGGAAGTCCTAAGTGCCATACAGCTACTGAAATGTGGGAAAGCAGCAGGACCAGATGGGATCCCGCCAGAAGTATTGAGAGCAGACGCAGAGACAACAGCGGACATGCTCATACCACTATTGCAGAAGGTGTGGAAGGAAGTAAAGGTGCCTGGCGATTGGAAGAAGGTTACCCTGTCAAACTCCCGAAGAAGGGAGACCTCAAATGTTTGCAAGAACTGGCGAGGAATCATGCTCTACTCCTGTTCATCCAAAGCTAAATATTAGGCCACATCATCCTGGAGGCTAAAGGACGCGCTAGATTCAAAACTACGACCCGAACAGGCAGGCTTCAGGAAGTACAAATCATGTCCGGGCCAAATTGCAACGCTTCGTATCATCATAAAACAGAACATAGAAAGGCAGTCAACTCTACACCTCAACTTCATAGACTTTGAAAAGGCCTTTGACAGCGTCAACCAACAAGTAATTTGGTAGGCAGTTGCTTCAACACTACGGAATACCGCAAACCTTTATCAATCTCATTTAACACGCCACATGCCAAGTAATTCACAATGGGAAGCTCACTGATGCATATGGAGTGAAAATGAAGACAGGAGTAAAACAAGGTTGCCTACTATCACCCAAGATATTCCTGATTGTGGTCGACTAGACTGGATGATGCAACAAACTGTGAGGAGCGAGAAGAGGGGGATACGCTGCCCCGATTGCGGAAAAGACCCCAAAAGACTTGAATTTCGCCGATGACTTGTGTCTAATGTCACACAAACTTGAAGATCTACAGGCGAAAACTAACAAGTTGACAGAAGAAGCAGGGCAGCGAAGATGGGACTTCGAGTGAATATAGAGAAGACAGAGGTGATGAAGATACCCAACCAACAACAACAAACTCCAATCACCATCAACGGGAGAAACTTAACAGAAGTAGCCTCCTTCACCTATCTAGGCAGCACAGTGTCAACTACTGGCGACACAGGTACAGACAAGGATGTCAAAGCCAATCAGGATCGGAAAAGCAAGACAGGCTTTCATTAACTTGAAACCAGTGTGGAGATCTGCACTCAGCATAAAGCGTAAACATAATCCGGATTTTCAACACCAACATCAAGTCAGTGCTCCTATATGGTCCAGAGACTTGGCACGTTACTAAAACAATTTCCAACAAACTACAGACATTCATCAACAACTGCCACCTACGCTCACTCGTTACTGAAGATCAGATGGCCAGAATGATAAGAATCAGCAACAAGGAACTCTGGCCTAGCAACGAACCAACCAAGAACCTATCGCTGAACAAACATGCAGGAGGAAGTGGAGATGGATTGAGCATACACTGAGAAGGCCGACTGGGGACATCATGCGTCAGACCAGGGCGTCGAGTGGAAGCCAGATGGGATGCAACGAGTTGGGCGTCAGAGGCGATGGTGACATGGAAATCGTGCGAAGAAGAAATGAGAGCTTCTGGACTGTCGTGGAACCAGGTTCAAAAAATTTCAGAGAACAGAGTGCACTGGAGACGTGCAACTGAAGCCCTATGTTCCATTAGGAACCCAAGGGACAAATAATAATAATAATAATAATAATAATAATAATAATATAATACATTCGAAACTTATCTCGATATATATCTTGAAAAAGTCTTATCATCGTAGAGCTTAATCCCTATCGTTATCACGGTTTTCTGAACGTCTTTTGAGATCATTTTCTGCAGTGCATCTCTATTCCTACTGTTGACCTCTCGTCACTGCACCGATTCGAAGCGTGTTAGTCTAAACTGATGAAGATTTATGCTAGATCTTGTGCTGTCCACGACTGTACTAAGATATCGGTACATTATTTGTCCCAACTGAAATTAAGTGACTATAGATTCGCAAAATTATGCCTTGTACGAGGAGTAATGCTTACACATACAGAATGACTAATTACGCTGTCGAAATTAACATATATCAGTAACCAAAGTGAAAAAGACATTACAAAATTCCACCTAATATACATAATCAGAGTGTGAAGTGCACTGAGATTCATCATTGTCGAAGCTGCTAGTTATTTCCTATCTGGAGGGATAATCAATAGGATAAAAATACCATGCAGACCCACTGATAGTGACCCATATTAGTTCATAGTGTGGATATGTCAAGACACAATATTAAGATTTAAGAATAACCTAATTAAAAGCAAACTATTTCAGTACTGCCGGAAATCTAACTCATGAGATTTATACTGATTGTGAAAATCTTGTTATGTGGAACACCATGGTGCGACAGACAGAATCAACGTACAACCCCGCACACAAGTGCACCAGTTCAAGTTGCCATACCTCACAGCAGTATAAAAAGAACAGGTCAAGAGAAAAAGAGTGATATTAAAGTAGTGTAAGAGAATAAACAATCTGAAGACAAAGGTTAGTGTGAATATTTGAGCTTTAGAAGACCTCAAAGAGTGAATACATCTGACCCACTGCGACCGACTTTCAGCCATATCACCAAGATTCCTCAACCTAACTATTCCTATCGTCTTGTGGACCCCAGTCAAGTAGTCTGAATCTCCCCATATGGCTCAGACCAACAGTCAGAGACTTCATTGACTGGTGCCAGGTCTTGGTCTGGCCACCCTGAACCCTCTTCCAACTTCATCCAACTCCTTGTGGAATGGCACGTCGAGGTGGGCGGGGACTCAGCATGCATAACACATATCCAAGCTATCTCAGCCGATGAAGGTTTACAATCTCATCAACCGACTTGCCTGTATAACCTAGTGCCCTTCTCCTGGCCTCAACATCGTTCACATGGTGATTTCACCAAATGCTACGAAGACACCTATGATGAAAACCCTCTAGTTTGATTAAAGCGCCATTTTCTTATTTCAAAAGTCAGCGGAAAAGCACAACGAACAAATTTTAATAACAACACTAATATGTTGTTGTTCGCTTATCATTGAAAGAATGGGAACAAGAAAAACAACAAAAAGATGTGTCGGTGCATCAAGTTGGCAAAGTCTCCTTATCAAAAAGGTGCATATAGCGTAACTGAAAAAAAACAAAAAGAAAGAATTGCACTGATCTCACTTCTACCTGAATAGTAAATCATGCATATCACCGATGTTAGGAAAGATGTCTAAGTAGGTTAGAATAGTAAGATGCTTCACAATTACCTTTTCTCTTTCAAAAGTGACAGAGAGGATGTTTAGAAAAAAGAAAACAAGCTAAGATATCGATAGAATATCAATAATAATAACAATGAATGGTTGTTTGGGCACTTGAGGTATGAAAGCTTTGTAGGTTGACCAACAGGACACGCATATTATCATGAAATAAAGGATTATAATAATGCAACCAAAGATGCAGAAAACTTGTTTTTCACACTGGGAGAATCAAATTACGACCTTTCAGTACTATATGTAAAATAATTGGAAAAAAAGAAAAGATAACGCATAGGTTAAATGGTACATTTAAAGAAAACTGTCAGATACTTGCATATGAAAAGGCTGGATTTCATCTAGTGCTTATCACCATCTAAACGTAATGCACATGAAGCTAATTGAAGTATTGAGTTGTACCATAAAAGGAAGACCTCACCTAAGGTTCTTCAGTTGGTGCTCACTTTCAACGCCCTTGATATGATTATGAGCAATAAATTCTGCTTGAAACTTCATCCAGCAAATTATACTATATCGTTGTGCGCTATATCGAACAGACAACTCTAATACGGTTTGAACGCATCCTGGCTGACAATGGACTGGGTGGTTTGGAAAAACTCGGGCATCAAGTTAGTATGATTCATTCCATATACAATTAAGACAATTGTGTCTAGTAGTAAGAGCTAAAATATCAGTTAGAATCTTTGTTATTGTTATGATTTGAAAATATTCTCTCGTCGATACAAACGTGAAATAAGCAATGAAGGCGAAAAAGCAAGATTTAATGAATTCAGTATGACAGATGGCGGTTGTATTCTCCCTATAAAGCTGATTACGCATACCATTATGATATAATACAGGGATATGTACACACTAATTTTGACTTAACGATATATAAATAATTTTTGCAGGTTGCAAGGGATGTTTAAACGGGTGAAAATCGAATAATTTAACAGTAAACAGAATAGTCAATAGTATGGTAAACGATTTGGCAACAGTGTAGAGCTATGTAATCACGAGAAATTTGAAAGTAATATAAAGATAATCCTAGTAACAGTGGTAATAGCAGTAAAAATTATCAGAGTATGCTAGAAATGAAAAATATGAATATACACGAGAAAGGGTGTGTTTACACCAAGTTACGATTAATACCACCATGGTAGATTCACACCACCCTCAATTTCTCCGGCATGTAAAGGTTTAGTGTGACAGTTAGAATCAAGCAGGTAAGCATCCTCTTGTTCAATAATCTTTTGATAATTGTATGAAGCATAGTGCATTAGAGTCTTATCTTGCCGTCCTGGTCGCAGCACGTATTCACTCAGTGTTACTGAGAAACATGAGTTTATTGGCTTAGTAGGTTCTTTTTATACAATTTTCCTACCAATGTTTGACTATACCAAACATGCCATCACCTTTATATGGAAAACCAGCATTTTTGGCATCATTCTTTTGTTTTCTGCACACTTCGCATAGTTGTTAATAGGGTCCTCATCTTCATTGCTTGTTTTAATTTTCTATGGTCCTGTGATAGCTGTGAATTCTCGCTTATGCACAGGTCAATTATGACCAGTTATTTCATTATCTGAAATTATTCCGACGTAGAACGGCTAAAAACATGACGCTTTGATTGATAAAAACGAGTAAAAAGACTGGTATTTCCAATATCCTCTTTGCATCTGAATAAATATTCCCATTAATAAATAAACTACACTGGATGGTGTTTTTTAAATACAATAAATAGAACGAAAAAAGATGGTGAGGCTCAAGGAGAATCATACCAAAACTCAGCTCTAAAAATGAATCCATACTAGGTTGAATCAGACCTGCTGTGTGGTGACTAACGCTACAGCTTAGCTCCCTAAACTGAAACAGGGTTTGAGTCAGTAACGTAACTGATCGATAGTTGGGTATCTAGGTGATTAAGTCATAAAACTTCAAGAATAGCGAGTTTAAATTACTAATTCTTACCTCTGGTAACATAAAGATAGAAGAAATCAATGTATAGTAGCGTCTGAACACAGCCAGCAACAATAGCCACTAAGTCGTAGACATCTTCCACATAGTAACGATAGATCCAATTGACTAGATATAAAGCACGATATGACCCTAATGCAAATAAATAGTGAGCAGTTATCGTCTCTGCCTCTCCTGTACTGCTGATCATGAATAATTGAGGTAGAATGGCCACTGCTTCCAAATATATGGAAAATGTCCACAGTACCTGTGGGAAAACAAAATGAAATATTTGACTCAGCAGTAATTCTTCACATTTCTTTAGTGCAATTTATCTCCAAAGCTTTCACTGCGAAAACAGAAATCAGATGCACATCAAAAAAGTAACAACACTTTGATATGATTATGAGCAGTAATTTGCACTCCAAACGTCATCAAATAAATATTACTATACCAGAGTATGCTATATCAAACAAACAAATCTAATATGAAACAAGATAAAAGTTAAAGAAACAAGAATAATATTGTGAAATACACTTATATGCTATGAATTAGAAAGGGAGAATTTTTTCTTAGCTTCTCATTATAGGTGTACAGTTAGCAGCCAAAAGGTATCCCGAAAAGTCCTAATAAGGTTTAAAGGTTAACATCATGTATCGAACTATGAAGCAGAAGATTGAATAAATCCGTTGAGATTCACTCAGCAATTCACACCTTTTTTGAGGGTTAGTCATAGTCTTCACCGCCGCTTTCATAGCACAAGGCTTCGTCAAGATGAATAACAATGTCATATAGAACTAACCATCGAGTTGACTTCTCTGTATAAGCAGTGTCACTATTTTTATCTTCAAGCTAGGTTGGAAACAGTCACTCAGCTGCAGTTTTCTTACGTCAGCTTAGACTCAAATACGCATGTAGTCACTGTCTAAGCACATGCTCAAAAAAGAAAGGCAGTATTACTCCAACCACCTTCAGGGACATCTAAGGATAATGATATGGTTGCAGTTCATCGTTAAATTCATTTCAGTGGTCACCAGCTCAGACTCTGAATATGCCATTTGGCTGATGAGAGCTCAGAAGACTGTCTACTAGGAAGTGGGCTTTCTACCCCAAGACTCAGTGCTATACCCACACCTGCAAGACCACGAGAAGTACCCCAGGACTACTCCCAGAAACTTCAGGTATGAATTCTCCAGACTCATCATTTCGGTCAGCTGAGGTCAAGTCAATAGTTACACCTGGATTTTATATGTATGTCAATCAATCAATACGAACATAGGACCAGGCAAAACTGCATAACGGTCCGAGTTGCCACACCTCATATCAGCACATCAAGTAAAAAGGTAGTGAGGTGAAGGATGAAGATAAGTGAATGCAGTCAAAAGAAATATAAAGTACGAGAAGAAAGGAAGAATGACAAAATGGTAAGATTCAATATAGCGTCGTTAAGATGAGGATAATGTGTGTATACGTCTGCGCCACTGACATCGGTCCTGAGCCATATCACCTGGAGTCTCCAACCACTGGTTCCTCTTGTCCCACGGACCCCAACCACCTAGTCTGCATCGTCCTACATGGCTTAAACCAACAGTCAGAGACTTCATACATTGGTGCCATGTTTTAGTCTGGCCACCTCGGGCCTTTTTCCAGCCTAGACCTACTTCGGCCAACATTGTGTGACGAGGCAATCGGTGACTGGGCATACGTAGTACGTGTCTCAACCATCTCACTCGATGAAGGTTCATAACCTCGTCAACTGACTTACCTCTTCTCTCTAAAACTCTACACCTGACTTCTGCATTACTCACGTGGTGACACCAAGGAATACGTCCTACACTACGAAGGCAATGATGGTCAAACACTTGAAGCCTTCTTATATCTTCCACTTTCAATGGCCATGTTTCACAGCCATACAGCAGAACAGAGCGGACTGCTGTGTATGTATGTCACAACACAAGGAATACGTAGATGGCTTGAGATGTCAGTTTCAGTTAGAGACTTTTTGTCCGCCTAAACGAAAAGTGTGGATGTCGAATTCCTCGATACCTGCTTTACAATGAAATTTAAAGAGACTAGATATGATATTCTGTCAAATTAAATTATTATCACAGGTTGCAGCGCTGACAAAAGTTAAAGATGATGTAAAACTGTGAAAAAAGAAAAGTGAAGAAAATGAAGAAGGCAACAGGATTGAGGTCTGATTATGGATAAAAAATCTTGAATGTCTGAGTTTGTGGGTGGTTCACACTATTTCCCATATTATAAAGTTTTTTTTCCAGTGAAGTACGCGAAGAGCAAAGTGGAAGAGCATGGTTGATCTTACTCAAATGGTGACGTGCTCACGAAGCACGCGATAGTTGTTTTAAGCAGTTTAAACAAAGCCCCATTGACACTAAGTCATCTATTACCTTTTTTAAAATTCACTTACGTTTTTATTTCAATTGCTGCAAGAAAATATCCCGAATTAAAGCAGAGTTGAAGTGTCGGGTAGCAGGAGCATATGAACACTCTCATAAGAGTTATCAAATCTTTTTTCCATTTGTAGTGCCTCTGTTTGTATTCTTGATTACCACAAAACCATCCTAGTCTTTTGATTTGGCAGCTGTTTCAAATGAGTAGCTAATTAACCAGTTGAAGACAGATTAACAGGATCACATCTATTGCAGGGTAATTAGTGACAATAAGCCGCAAGTAAATCTTGGCAGACTGAACAAGAATCAAGACCCTGACTAAACCCTGAAAACTGGGTTCGAAAACCAATACTCTTGAACATGAATGATCAAAACTAAAAGCGAAATAACCATTAAAAAGTTTTCCGCAAGTATTAAGTATATTAAACTCGTTGATATTACTCTACAATACCGTTCCCTATGGGAACACAAAAGATTTAACATGGACTGAATTTTCGATCTGTGGGAATACATGGGCGGGAAATTCAAATAAAAAGTATGTCAACAATAAAACTAGCTAATCTAAAAGATTTCAACGGAATAAATTAAACCTGTTCGATACGTAATCTCATTATGTCCTGTAAACAATGGTATCAATAAAACATACCATGGCAACCCATATTATGTTGACTGATTGATTAAAACGACCACATAAGTTCCCGGTATACTAAATAATATTCTGAGGACACGTAATACCAGGTGGACATAATTTTATCAGAAAGATTTGAACAGTTATCCATTATTTTTGCTTCTTTGTAAACGCACAATTTAACTGTTTAAGGTTTTGCGCGTAAATTGTTAACTTGACGGTAAACAAAACCAACTTCAGTTACTAGTAATTCTTACTGATTTAGAATAGATGTAAGTGCTGTGGAATGAAAGATGGTTGTCAGTTTATGTGGCAACAAAGCTCAGACGACAACAAACTACCATCGTTGATTTTGTCTGTCTTTCGGAGTTGCTGAGTTTGGCGAAAACCAGGCTGAATCAACCAATGAGCCAACTTAGTTTATTACAGTTAAATATGTACGAAATAAAAAGACCTGAACGTATCCTTTTCCTGCTAAAACATCATTCGCCTCTGTATGCAGTATTGACTGCATCATTTCGTCCCATTAGGAAAAGCCGATGCGTGAGACGGTGTAGCTCAGTGGTCTAACAACATGATTTCCAGACAATATGCCACGGATTCAAATCTACATACATCTACTTCAGCCTGGTCAACCAGGTAGTGTCATAAGCAATAGATGTAGCTGATATCCCAGCATTATATATATATATATATATATATATATATATATATATATATATATATATATATATATATATATATATATATTACTAAACACAAGAATTAAGCGATTGCGACATCGGATATTCTCTATATTAACAACAGAAATAAAATGTACACGTGCAAGTGGCAGTAAACCATTAGTCACCTCATATGATTCAGATATGCATTAACTCTTTTGCTGATTGCATGAATCTTAATTGTATTTATCACTGCCTCAATATATGGAAACAAAGTCACATAAGCAAGCGAGAAAAATTGTCACCACATCTATTTTGATGTTAAATGTGATGTTTAAAGTTCAATAATAACTTAAGAATCTGCTTTGGTTTACGATATTTTATAGTGAATAAAGCTTTGCGGGTACTTTCTGCAATAAATATCGAGACAAAATAAGCGGAAACTGCTCAACAGTTTTACCCTATGCAGCATCGTGGCATCATTCTTATGAGTTTCAATTAGTCGAAAAATGAACCAGGTTGCCACACCTCATATCACCACATCAAGTAATAAGGCAATAAAATGGAAGTTGAAGAAGAAAGAAATATCGGTCAACGGAAGTAGAAGTAGGAAGTAGTAAAAGAGAGGAAGGAAGAATGAAATGATGAAATCAGGTATAGCAGTTAAGATGAGGATAATGTGTGCATGTGCATCTGCGCTAACTTGTACCAATAATTGTTTTTTTATTCAACAAGTCATTGTGTACAGATGGATGTTAACCAAACGCATACAGCCTTCACATTACGGCACCACTTACATTTAATATCTACTATCACCATTACTATCAACATTCTGAAGGTTAGCAAACAACAGTGACACAGGAACAAACAGAACGGCAATCCAGACATATCAACACCATGCAAACCGATGTTGACAGGTGACACCACTTCTTAAGTCACTATATTATTAAACAAGCTCAAATATGGGGTGGTGAACTTAAGAAACACATATGGATTATACAAAATATAATCAATCCAATGGAGACAATAGCGATCCATACGTAGTCATCGTGCGTCCTCAGCTAGATGTCAGGTTTCACAGAAGTATGATGCTACTGCCTATACTGAAGCGTCTCACACCCAAAATTTAATAGTCACACTGACGTTTCAGCAGTACAACAGGTAGGCACACTGGCACAAAACCCTTTAGATCTTGAAATACATTCGGGAATGTCATCAGTCACACTAGCATTTACACAATTACTCAAATGCACAAAATTTCACATTAATTTCGAAGGTTCACTGACAACAGTGAGTGCTGTCACAGTCTCCTGCTATATTTGAATTATTGTACACATAAATGGTGCGCACACAAGTGCATCGGATCAAAGTGTCACACTTCACCGTATCACACAAAGAACGGCTGGATAGAAACTACACTTGACAGACAAGGCCAGAGCATTGTCCCCTCCAGTAAACAGAAATCCGCTATAACGTCAAGAAACACAAGTGTTGACCTGTTATACGTGTAACGGTGTCCGAGAGTCTTACGGAGATTGGACATGTGATTCATGAATAAATGTCATGA